AAATTTGTCGTGGTTGAACAACAAGGAAGAACAAAAAAAAAAAAAAAAAAAAAAGAAAACTTCTCGAAAGCGGATTTTGGAACCTTACATACTTCTCCCTTTGTCTCGGTAATGAGTAGTTATTTCATTTCCTTTTTCTTTCTCTGTTCTCTGTTTTATTTACCACGGCATATATCATGCGAATAATGCACAACAGCACGATGAAAAAGAGGTGGAAAAAGGGAGCACGTTCTTGGCGGGATATTTGTGTGAGAACGAAAGGGTGGCACGGCTTAAGGAATGTCTACGTCGCGCTGGCAACAAGGCTCGAAAGACTCGACAAATATCATAAAATGTAAATGTTACGGATTGCCCACGATCCCGAGCAGAACTTCTCAATTTCCCAATACGCCAAAGCCCTTTTATCCGGCTTACGCGCGTTCGTAGCTCGATTAGTTTCATAGCTCGTTCATCTGCCATCTTCGCGGCCTGTTTCTCCGAGATTAAAATTTCTGATCTCGGCGCTCGTATATTTTACATGGAACAACGGCCACGGATACGTTCAACTTTGTCGCCCTCATCCCATCGAGCGAACAAACTTTCGTCCAGGATCGGATCGGTCCCCCCGCGCGCTACCACGTCACAACTAGTCCGAAAAGGTCATCCATTCAACGGATAAAAACGTCCAAATTTTATTCATCCTGTGTCGAGCAATTTCAATTAGGCAAACTTTTCACTCTGTGCGAGAACCGTGGATGAATAAGTCCTCCGATTGAACGGAGACATTAACAATAACAGCTTTAAACACTTTGCTGTGAACTACCTCGAACGTCAGGAACTGGAACCAATTGTTCGTCGTTCCGACAACGAACATCCATCCACGAGAAGTTCCCCCAAGTAATCGATTCAATTTTCCAATTCGTCTTGTGCAATTTTCAGGGGGATGTTACTCGAAAACTCGACGACAAAAGTTACACGTTGACACGGGCTAAAGCCTTAGGAAAGGACTTTGTCGACGTAATCGAGAAAAACCGTTCTCACCAGGACTCGTCGTCCTGGACTATTGCGTTACGGTTGTCTCGCCGACGACGTCGCACCTCGCTGCTACATATAGGTATTTAATACACGTAAGAATAAGAGCAGCAAGCGTTTTACGCAGCAAGCGTTCACGCGTACGCGTGTACATCAGATACACGGCGAGTTAAGTCGTATAAGATAAATGGGCCAACCACTGGCCTTCTGTTACACCGAATGTGTTTCACTCGCACTCGTGATATATGGCTACGCCGCTAAAAACTGGCAGATGTGTCGCCACCCTTTGCAACCACCCTGCGTCCTATCATTCCAGCCAACGTTTCGCGAGAATTGTCGACCTATCTTTCCTACCTTAGCGGCTGGATAAATCGACGCGAGACGCGAACAATACTTGAGAGATTACACTGGCTGGGCCGACGTGTACCGTCGTGACGCCGCCGTCGAAAAACGCTGTGTTCCTTGCTCTTATGATGTATATCCCCTTGCGAGTTCTCGTTGACGATCATTTTTGCTAAAACTTATTCTTCGCAGATTACCATCAAAAAGATCACTCTCCGGCGTGACGTGTTCCTCGTGTCCATGTAAAATAATAGTCTCCGCCCGTTTTTTTTTTTTTTTTTTTTTTTTAAACATTACAGAAATTGAACGTTCCTGTCTGTCTGTTCTGAAAACTGAAGCTTACAGAAGCAAGCTTATTGTCGGCTTGGATATTATACTCGGCACTCGATGATGCCTGATTCTTGGTCTTAACCATTGGAAATGAAATCAACGATCCTTTGGCTCTTCGACGCGAAGTAATTGAATGAAACGAAGAGGTAAAGAATTATTCTCTATTATTCTTTGCCAGCAACTATCACTTTCCTTGTAAATCCTGTTTCCCTCTTTCTTGCTTCACCAATTAACAGAATTTGCCTAGAATCTAGAATCTCTGAATCGCCTAATCATGAATCCATCTGCGGAAGTTTTTTCGAAATTTATTGAAGAAAAGTCCCGAAATGATGGAAGGTTTTGTTATTCCTCCGTACTCGTTGTACGCACGGCAATGAAATATGAAGCACAGGGATTTCTTTCTTTTTTTTTTTTTTTTTTTTTTTTTTTTGCCGTGCAACGTATGTCCCATGGGACATCCTCCAACGGAAGAGACACTGAAAATGGAGTTTTCACTTAAATTAACTCTCCTCAAAGGGTGGAATCTACTCACAACTGCACGGGCTACGTCCCTCGTGTACGTTGCAACATGAACCTGCAACGGACGTGATGTTCGAGTTGGAGAGAAAAAAAGGAACGGAAGGGGAAAAGAGACGAGGGATGCCGGTTCATTAACGTTCAGTCGGATCTATGATTTCTTGTTAACTTTATCCAACGTTATTTTCATCTAAAAGAGAATTGTCCTTTGTCGTAATCACTTCCATTCTAACTTGTCCCCTTTATAAAATAAAGTGTCATCCAAATTCGATCGAGTTAATAAAATCTCCTCCCTCTCCTTCTTCCAACTCCGATCAAAGAAACCTTAATACTGGATCGTCGAACCGAAGAATACTGTTCGCAGTCTTAAACGAGTTGTTTCACTAGTTTTGCCTCCTCGAATATTCGAGGAATATTTAATTTGAAAATCTGTGGGAAATACCGACGAATATTTCGAGCTTCCGTCGACGTCGTTTCACGCGTACTCGCATGCCCGCTTAGTATAGCTCGGCGACTTGTCGAATCTTAATATCCAAAATACATAGAAACTTATCGATAATTTTTATATATGAAATCATATGTAAAAATGTTTGACGATTTGAAAGTACAACGAGAAATCGGCAAAACGGGACGCAAAACAAGCTTTCTCAGAATTATTCTCGGGAAGTTTCGGTCCTATGAAATCGAAAAACAATAAAAACAATAACAATCCGGCTAGTCGGTGATTTTACTTTCGAAATTGATTTCCCTGCAAAGTAAGTTTCCGCGACTTTGCAAGCTGCCACCTTAAACGTGGCGAGGATGAGGATGAACCTGTTCGAGGACGAGAGGATTATACCATACCATAGCTGTGAGGATGTAGGACGAGCCTAGGGACCCAGCCCTCCCGTTCTGCCTGGGGTTAACCAACATTTACATAGGCGCGAACGTAGACTGAATAACAATGCTTGAAACGGAGCTAAAACCAGCCGTGCCGTTCCACCGAGACGGCACGTTCGTCATCCTGTGTTGGAGCACATCCTTCTACAGGGTGTACAATTCTGCCATGTATCGAACTTGCATAGAAATTAGGATAGATGAATAGAACTTCGTTAATTGAAACTTGCGAATGTCAAAATTTCAATAAACTAAGATCAACATATATCAACAGCAATACGATCAACACTTGAGCACATAAATCGTAAATTTCTCTGTTATTGAAGAAGCTTCAATAACTTTTTATTGAATTATACATGTATAATGAAAATGATTTTCTTTTCATTAATTGTCAAATCAATCTCTCAAGAGATACGATACTGTAAAGAAGAAGAAATCGAGTACAATTTTTATATATGAATCAGACACTCATGATGTTAAAAACAGAAAGTTCTACGATTTGATTGATTGAACACAATATTCAAGAGATTAAACACTTGACAAAGTATCAGAAGCAAACACGGAACCATACATTACTCCCAAGATACCACTCGTTCGTGATATCGTTATATTTTTAAAACAACTCTTTGATACCAACTTAGCAGAAAATCAACAATTACAGAAAGATAGCGATTCACATTGTCAATGTGCAACGAACTTTCCAAAATAAATTGACTTAATAAATATGAAAAGTAACGTACAAGAATGTTTCTCCAATGAGAAGGTATAATAAGCGAATCGTATTAAAATCCTAACTTTATTATATCACAACAGATTTTATTTTTCATATAAGCGGAGACAGGCATTTATGATATACTATACAATGTATTATTTTCAGGTCGATGTTATTTTAAATTCACGCGCATCATACTCTCTACGACATCTTATTTACTATAGTTAAATGCAAAGAATGCAATTGACCCGTCCACTTATCAAGAGCATTATAACGTGCTGCACATACTGATTTTTTATCCAATTCAAGCACTTGGTTCACCTGTATACAATTTGACGTAAGATAAAGGAAATAAAGTACTTCTTCTAAATGATCGAAAAATTTGTTGCATTACCTGATCAATACGACCACGAATAGTACTATCCAGAATACAAGACACTAAAAGACTTTCGACTTCTGACACATCGATATTTAACTCTTTGCTTATAAAAGGGATATAAATTCTAGTGTACGGCTTAATTAATTTAATTAAAACCTATGAAAACACGTAAATACATGTTATGTTTGGAATTTTGAAAACACTGAAACGTACATAGTGTACATGTATTGCATATACCTGTGTGCGTATATTACGTAATAAATCTTCGATGTGTTCTCTTATAAAAGGATCATCCATTATGTTATTCCTGTTTTGTTTTAAAATTAATTCAAATTGATTAATATCATTATTTTGATAACTGACTACTAAATTTGTCATTGCCAAGATCTCTGGATCATTTTTATATGGTTTTGCTTCCTGAGAGTCAAATGGATTGATACCAGATTTCATAAGCCTGTTTTACACACATTTAAATATTAACAATAAATTACACCAATATTACAGCATGCTATTTCACCCATTGAATTTGTTTTACTTACATATTTGCTAAAACTAAATATTTCAGACATGTAGTACGTCTTGGTGATCCAGACTCATCATAATTTTTAAAAGCTTCAAAGAAATCAGTGTGTGCTCTTTCAAATTCACCTTCTCTTAAATGCATTTTTCCTCCACATTCTTTTATAAACGAATAAAAAATTTTATTTTATGTTATTAGATAGTTTCAAGTAGTCCCTAGTAATTTGAACTATACTACCTCTAATGACTCCCATTATTAATGGATGTGGTATAGCACTTTTAATATGTAAACTCTGTTCATATAAAGTTTTTAATTTCTTGTTATTTTTTTGCGCAGTGTACATTTGTATTTCTAATGCATAAATTTCCAAAAGTTGTGTCCCTTTTTTCAAATCATCCTCTCCATCATCAGTCTAATAAAAATATGATACGTATGATGTATGTATATTGCGTTAATAACTTTTATTTTCTAATGTAACTAGAGGACCTGTCGTACCTGACAACTTTGATGGAGTTGTTTTAGTATCTTCGCTAATTTATTAAAATCTGATCGATCAAAGTATAACTTTCCCAATTTTGTATTAGTTTTAAACCATAACCTATCATTTTTGGCATCCTTCAACGCATCTAAAGTAGTTTCATAAAAATCTTGTAACAATTCCATCTGTAAGATATTTAATAATAAAGAAGCAATGTTTGAAATTAAATCAGCTTATATTCTTACTCACATTCTTTGAGGTACTAATATAATCTAATATGGAATTTATTGACTTTTCTGAATGGTTTCTGGTAACTGCACTTTTAATATAAGTTAATAATTGCTTATATCTTGCCATCATTTCCTTATAATTACCCTAAAAGAATCAAACATTATAACAAAAGTATATCCTACATATCATTAACCTCTATATCCTATATATATCATTAATTTATATCCTATATATCAATCTAATATCGTACCAATTTAAAATTAATTTTTATCATTTGTTTCAACGCCTTGAAGCCCCATTCACCCTTTTCTCCTCCCTCCAAATCCAAAACTTTTTGAAAACTTTGTAGAGCCGCCTTTGGATCATCTTCTTTTAAAGCTTTACTATTATAATATTGATTTTCTAAATCAACATCAGGTTCTGAATTTGAATCTTCAGAGTATTCCTAAAATTATTACAAAAATAATATCACATTGAAATTGATATTCAAAACAATATGTTATCACATCTAAGCAAAGAAACAGAAAGTGTCATCTTAAAGGCATCAGCATAACCTAAGAAAATACAAACTATCATATAACTTCGAATTATTGCTAGCAGACATCTAAGACAACTTTGTTTGCTGTTATTTTAACATTGCTGTTATTTTAACATTTTAATATCTCTAAAACTATTTTTAAATTTCATATACATCAAGATTAAAATTCTAACCAATCTCTTAAATACCTCCTCGTACATTAACACTTGCTTTTTAAGAATACAAATACTCACAAGACCATAATCTTCTTCTTCCTCACACATAAAATCATCTTCACCGTCTGACATTTTGCAAATATTTAAGAAGTTTAAATTGTAAAAATAAAAAAGTTCTCGCAATCCTGTTGACACCGCAAGTCTGATCAAGTTTGTATTTTGAAATTCACATGTATGCACTGTATGTGTTACACATGTGCTTTGTGCAATTTCTCCACAGATACCATATTAATATTATTCAATTATCCTATATTATTTTTAACAAAAGTATGCATAATTCCCTCGATAATTGAAGTTTCTCACTAGCATATTTGAAAATATTCAAATTTCTATTCGAAACTATTTAGCTACATTTCAAGATAACAGAGAATGTATATGACATTTACTAGTGACTTGTCAAATTCTAACTGATTTCACTTCCAAGTCCCAAGCTTATGTTTTTGTCAACGTAGTTGGTTACATAGTAGGTTATGTTTCTAATTACGAAATGATTAATTCAAACGAATCATCAAATAAACCAATACTTTATGAATTGTTAGAATATTTTATTCGAGAGCAAGAACCAGAATTAATAGTAAGTTAACATCTTGTTGAAATGAAATCTGAAATAAGATATACAATCTACATCTGTTCATAATTCTCATGCATTTATAAAATAATATTTATTTTAGAAATGCAAAAATGATTCTATAATATTGCCTACAACAGGGACAATAAAAAATGCACTTAGATATCTTAATAACCGGTATTCTTTACCAGAAAGTATATCACAACAAATAAGTCTTACTCTACCATGGAAATTTGCAATTGGAGATTATGGACGTTTACTTGCTCTTTTACAAGAAAATGTCATAGAAATTCGAAAAGCAAAAGATGAATATTCTTCAGTTGTTGGAAAAGCTTCTGGTAAATTAATGACTTCTTAAATCTGTTTAGTCTTTAAATAAATCTAATGCATGTTTTGTTTTTTCAGTACCAAAGGATGCTTTTCCACAATGGCGAAAACTAGCTTGGAGTCCAGATGGAACATTTTTAGTATTAGCATCCAGTAATGGTTATACTTCTTTTTACAATGCCTTGGGAAACAATATTTTTAATATCAGTCCAAAAACCATATCCCAGAATCCTCATATTTTAGAAGCTGGTGATGCAATAGCTTCTATGATATTCCTCAAGCCAAGAACAAAATCTGACAAATGGTCTTATGAATTTATGCTAATCACATACAGTGGTTTACTTAAATCATACCATATTTCTACGACTAATGAATATGAAGCAAATTATGAATTTTCTTTTGGTAGCTTTTACAAAAATGGAATAAATGCTGTTGTTTATGATGAAAAACATCACTTATTTTATGTTGCTGGAAATACAATAACTCAGAAATTAATGGTAATTAATGTATTTTTTATATATTACTTTAGAAAATATGACAGTCTGAACTATATATAATATTACAGTCAACAGCTTCAGATAGTGGATTAACATCATGGCGACCTCTAAATGAATATCCATATTGCAAGTTATCGTTTACTTTTGATGGTGAATTAAAAACCAAGTCAATATTTTCTATATGGAACATTATTCCTACACTAAACTTGCAACCAAAATCTATCATATTCAAAATAAAAATCTCCCCAAATAATAGATTTTTAACATGTTTACATACAGATGGTTCAATATCTTTATGGAGATTGCCTACTTTGTTGATACAGAGAAAATGGAAATTATCTGAGCAACCAGATTTTAATATACCTAATCCTTTAGGACATGCAAAAACAAAAAAATTTCCACCAGCTGTTACTGAATTTCATCCAATAGATATTGGTTGGTGGTCTGAAGAGGTAATATTCATTTCTTAACTATATAATTTTGTTAATTCATTGTTTAATTATACGTGACTTTTATTTTATTAATATTTTCAAAGGCAATTATAATTGCAAGATGTTCTGGATCTACATCGGTGTGTTCTACAACCGACTTAAAGAATCTTTTAGGTCCAAGTCCTGAATTTTTAGCTGGGCAACCACAGATATATGAACTTGGTTTAGATCGAGGTTTTTTATGTTTAGATTGTGAAACATATATAACAAGTAAAAAGCGAAACAGAGATTCCAATACAGAAAATCAAACATCAGGTTTGTATGAGTTCTTAATTAGTCTATATTTTCTGTGTTCACAATATGATATGTTAAATCCATTTTTAAGAAGTCTCTTCAGAAAGTGAAGAAGAAAGTGATGAATTAGAACCAACTAGTATATTAAATTACACAACGAATTTAATGCAAAGTACATTGTACTCTATCACCGACATTGAAAGATTTCAGCCTAAAAAAAAGAAATTAAAAGTATTGTTTAGAACATATAGAATTGTTGGACTTAAAAGTACCACACCTGAAGAACTTTATTCTAGAAAAATTGACATAGAGGTATGAGTATTTATAAGTATTGATGAAATTTAAGATTAATTTATTTGAAATTAAAGTAATCAAAAAATTGTAATGTAGGAATATGAAGAAGCATTGTCTTTAGCAAACATGTATAATTTAGATACTGATTTGGTATATCAAACTCAATGGAGAAAATCTGAATTATCATTGAACGCCATTCAAGAACATTTGAGTAAAGTTACAAAAAGATCTTGGGTCCTACATGAATGCATTAGTCGAGTCCCAGATACCATCGAAGCAGCGAGAGAATTATTAAATTTTGGATTGAAAGGTGCTAACTTGGAAACTTTAATAGCAATTAAAACTTGTGATAATGGAAAATTTGTAATAGACAATACTGATGAAGAGTGGGACGAAATGGATGAAGCAAGTATAAGCTTAAGACAAGTGCAAAAAATAAATCAGATGCTTGAAACGATTGACATTAAAAATTTATCCGATGCTCAAAAGGATTTAATTAAATACAGAAGAAAACTTCTAGACCATTTAGATAAGTTACTCACGTACGAAATTATTTTAGATTCATCGTTAAAGTACGATAAAAACTTTTACGAAGAATTTCGACAACTTTCAGCTATTGAAAATGCAATTAAATTTGCGAAAGATGGGGATTGTCAGGGAGTTGAAATTATGTTCACTTATCACGGTGAATATTTGCTACCTCATTGGTTAGCAATTATTAGCTTCTTTCCAGAAACTTTAAATCCATTAAAATATAAAAAACTTCTGCCAGAATGCGACATTGATGGACAATTATTTCTGCTTGATCAATGTGAGTTACGACAAAAAGATTGGGCTGAGAAAACTGAATTCAATGAGATAATTAATTTAGAAATTGATGACAAGTCACAATTACTTTACGAATATGATCCATCTCTAACTATGTACAGAAACACATTACTTACATCGGAATTGTTACAAAAATGGTACGAATCGCGAGCTTACCAAATCGAAAGGAATAGTTGTATGATCGATAATGCTTTGCAATTAATAAAAATTGCCAAATTACATAATATTAATGGATTAGACAATTTGTTATTAGATTTGGAAACTTTAGATGATCTCATTTACAAAGTTTATATAGAAGATCTGTCTTTAGATCAATTACAAAAGTTATCTAGTTTGGAAAAAATTAAATTGTTAATGAGTATGACTAGTGAGAAAAATTTCGTTGAGGATATAAAAAATTTTCTTTTACCATTTATAAAAAGGAGGCATCAGTATCTGGGTGGAGAATTACAGAAACATTTATTTAATGATTACTTAATATCTATTAGTAAAGAGGACCTGATGTTACCAGTTAAACTTTTTCAATATTTAAAACAATCTCACGATAATGAGATTTTACAAATGATAGAAAATATTGCAACTTTAGCTTTGGATTGTATATACGCTTGCAACGATCCTAATATGTACAAAAAAGCAACATGCATTGTAGATGCCATCGCTAAAGATCATAATATTAGAAGATCAGGTGCTATAAACACTTTGTTAGAGGAGCTTGATAAAGAACTTGAATGTACAAAAATCTTAAATAAATATGGTGTTAAAACTACATTGAATGCATTGCGAAAAAATAAGAGCAACCCTGATGCTGCAAAGCAACTACTGATTCAAATGGCAAGAAGTTTAAATAAACGGTAACTATTTTTTATTCTTTAATATCCTTTCTTTAAAAATGTTTTATATTACAAGATATTTTTTGTTTAATTGAAGAATGCCACCTCCAGATGAAAAACAATGGGCAGAATTATTAAATGAAATGTTAGAAATTCATGGTCTAATTTTTACATCTGTTGATATAGAAATTTGTTTTGAAATTTGTGTATCAGCGCGTTTAGTATCGGGAGTTAAATCTAATATACAAAATTGTGCTGCTCTAATTGAGACTAAAGAAAATGAACAATCTTTATTGAAAGTGTCTTATGAAAAAACAGTGAACTTAATTTTAGATGCTAGTAAGGAGTATTTTAATAGCTCCAAATCCTTAACTGACTCTAATATGGAGTTAGCTAGGTGAGTATTTTTAATTCTCTCACTAGTTTTCCAACTTTAATTTTTATAAATATAAATAAATTTCAGAGCTTGCCTCCATCTAATTGTAGATCATAATGTACAGATAAAAGAAGAGTATGATCTCATTAACTCGCTCCAAATTTTGAATGAATTTGATATTGATATATTACCACTTCAAGTGCGATTAATGCAAGACAGATTACAATTAATAAAGGATTGTTTAAATAAAAGAGAAGACGCTTATAAGAGCCGTCAAAGATTATTAACCTTAGCATATTACTTACGAATAGAAAGGAATAATAGCAAAATGTTAGAAGGAAAGGTTTTGGAATTAATTGCAAAAAAAGCACTTGAGGTAGAATTATTTTAAAATTATTATTTAATATATAATTTCAGATAATTTATCTATAATATAATATAAAACAGGTAAAAGATTTTGCTGTCTGTGCTGAGACTTGTCAACAATTGATGAAAAATAACTACATTCCTGCCTGGACCGTTGCTTTAGAATTAGGATTTTGTAAGGATTATGAAGATTTAAAAACTAGACAAAAATGTTTATGGTTTGCAATAAACAATGGACCTAGCGATATATTGAGCAAAGCATTAGATCAGATACATTTAATAGAAATACAAATATTACATAAAAATTTAGAATTATGGATACCTTCTGACTCACTATCCGATGATTTTAATGACGTCGATAGTGAAGAGGAATTTATAGATGCATTAACTACTGTAAGAAATACATTTAGAAATACCATATCTACCACAAAATGTAGAACTACACTAAATTATTATCAATTTACAGCCGCAGATAGAGACTAAAGAATTTGTTCCAAAAGTTTTAGAAGCTTCAACCGAGATAGTAAAAACTTCTGCCAATATTATGAAAGATTCGACACTTGGTTTAATAAAAAACATAAGTGACACCAATTTTTGGAAATCTAGGTTAAAATTCAATTTTTTAAATAATCAGAATAACAACACAGAATATGAAAATCCCATAGAAGCTGATGATGTACAAAGTTTCCCATGTTTTTATGAGAATTTACATAAAAATTGCAAACTCAGTGAATTTGACACAAAATATGTAAATTATTCTATGCCAGGTTTACAAAATACACGGCTCAAATGTTGTCGGGCTCTTTTAAGGATAACTATGTTGAGCGAATCTTCTTGTTATGGTTTAGAAGTGAGTGATATTAATCATTGTAAGTATTACATATTCACTTGAATAAAAACATATATAAGTTAAATATTATATATTATATAATTTCTTTTTCTATTTCAGTATTTTTAGAATGTGCAAAGTACACTATACAGCAGGATTGGTTGCTGGGCATCGCATATTTATTTAGTGTACAAAAAAAGTATATAAAAGAAGTACACAATTTTTTAACAGAATTTCCACAAACAATGTTGTACATTCAAACTTCAATGTATTATTATTGTTTGGAATTACATAAAAGCTTATATAAAGATTATTATTTTACAGATTTGTATCTATTTGATCCATTGAGCTTAATATTAAAAACTATGAATATAGCACATAAATGCAAACGGTTTGATATTTATAAACCATTTAAATATTGGCAAACATGTTTATTTCAAAGCTACGGAATAAATAAAACAGAATTTCTTGAATCAAATCAAGGAGCAGAAAATGATAGTAAGACTGAAGATAATAAAGAGTCAGATGAATTTAATATTGCACAAATTCAAAGTTCGAGTATATCTATTGAAAAAACAGAGGAGAAAGAAATAAAAGAAAATTTGCCACATATTGAGGAAACTGATATTAAAAAAAATTTATCTGAATTTGATGACAAAAATGATGTAGAATGGACAGATAATTGGGGCAACTTCTCGGATGAAGATATAATAGAACACGTAGGAAGCAAAAAAAATATTTTAAAACAGGAACTGTATATAGAGAATAATACTTCTTTACTAAAAGATATAGGAGAATGTACGACCGAAAAAGATCGCTTTCAAGCTTTCGAAAAAATATTTAATAAAGTACGGAACGTTGATCATTTTTATGAAGTAAAAGCATTATTACTGCAATGGCCAAAATTTAAAGATCCTGAATATACAAAAATTAACAACCATCCAATTTTAAGAATGCTGAAAATAGCTAATAGTTATATCATGGAAAAAGATAAAAGTAAACACAGTAAACAAATTTTTGAAGAATATAAAGAGTTGATAAAAGCATTGTCTTCAACGAATGTAAATTTTTTAATAATAATTATTAAATTACAAAAAAATTATTAAATTACAAAGAATTTACCAAGTTTGACTAATTGTTTCAATTATTTACATTAGGTACTCAAGGAATTTTTGAATGCAGAAGAAATTCCACTTGAGCACGCAATTTATATTAGACTGAATACGGATAATCCGGAATTTTATGAAGAAGCAATCAACATTCTCAAAGAAAAATATGAAGTATGTGCAAGCACGTAGTTTAACAAATTTAGTTTTTAGCTTTCATTTTCATTCTACGCATTGTTAAAATGTTATTTTATGTCTCAGGAATTAACAGTGTCACCACCCATACTGGAAATGTTATTTTCGAAAAATTTAACGGCATCCTTCGACTCGAATCACGAAATATTTAGTCGAATTATTGAACATGTGCTGATAAATCGATCCTTAACAGATGTAAAGGAAAATGCAGAAATTCTCATACAAGAATTAAAGAAAAAGAAAGATATTGCACATGCTTTGTGCATAATTAGAGTAATGGAAGATATACCGCCATCTTTATCTACATTTAGTACTTGTTACGAACTTCTGATGAGAAAATGAATATTCATTCTTTCTTATAAAATTTAATATATGCAAGATAAAAATTCAAAATACCAAAAGATGCAATTAAAAATTCCATTAAAAATTTACCAAATTCTACTTAAAATACCATTTTATTTGTAAAACGTAAAAAAATTTTTTAAGGAAATCAAAGCAATCACAAAGCTTTTAAATTTTCATCTATATCTGATATTTTAAAATTAATATGTACATATTATGAATATTTGTTATAATATTATTATAATTGTTATATTATCTGTAAATATAAATATGATGTATATTAAAATATAAATGTACAAGAAAAAATATTGGCAATTTATTTATTCCTACCTTGTACGGCTACTCTTCTCTGCAAATTAAAATCTTGAGAAACTATAACGTAAGTAGAAGAATAGAAAATTCAGAGTTCCACTAGTAACTTGCATGATGTAATATAAAAAATTTTAGTAGTTGTATAATATATTACAAAAAATTCGAAAACTTTGTAGCACTTTTTAAAAGATTTTAACTGTAATGCGCGCGCAAACATGCTTCAATTTGAAGTTCAACTAAGATAAAAATATTTATATTCATAATAATAATTTATAATATTATAATATGTAATGAATTTATGTTTAACTAAAAATCAACGTTTTTATGAATTTTTTGTGATTAATTCGTTTTTTCAAATATGTTATATTAAAGTTGAACGTATAGAATTAAAGTCCGCGAAGCACAGAACCGATTTGCTTTTAAAACGATTAAATGGCGGACTGACAATACTGATCGGTGATTGGTTGAAAATGGACTGAAGAATTGAAGTTATACAGGTAAATTATACGTATTATATACCAATATAGTGAATGTGTACTTACACAAATCTGAAAATTTAAAATAACAATAATAATCAGTTCCTATGTTTTTTCAATACTCTATTATTATTTACATTTTTTATTACAAGATATTCTTATTTTGACATTTTATTTGTGTTGTTATATTTATTATATTTATTATAAAGCTATTTATACGTAATTATGTTATAAAGTGAAAAAGAAATTATGTATAATTGTACAAAAATTGATAAAAAAAATGATGTTTTATTTCTATTAGTTAGTTTATTTATTAGTGAAGTCTATATGTATTTCCTTATATACTTATGCAAGTTATGTGTAAGTTATGTGCACTTATTGTTATTAAAAATATTATATAAACAACATTAAATATGTTAAAAATCAATAAAAAATATGTTTAAAAAATATGTGAACTATCAGCTGTTTGTTTCTTTATTTTTAGGTTAAAGTTTACTTAATTTGAGAAATATTTTATACTTTAAAAACAGTGTTATAAAAATGTCTACTACATCAGGAGCAAATAATCCATTTAAGGATGAAGCATTAATAGAGAATTCTCAACATTTTGAAGAACGTGCAGAACGAAATCGTCAAAAAGCATTGCTTTTAAAAAAGTCTAAAATAGTTTCTCATCCTTACATAAGAAGGTATGTCATCATAAACTAATATTTGAAACATTAATACTTTAAAAAATAAAAATTATTTAATTTGTTTAAAGTGAAGATGGAGATTCAACAAAGAGTGCATCCTTTAAAGTTCAAGGACAACGTGTTATAGATAGTGGAGGAGGTTTTCTTATAGAAGAAAGTGATGAATTAGAAGAAGAAATGGTATAGTATTTTAAATTATTAAAATAATTATAACATTAAATATTAATTCAATTTTGGAGCTAATATTTTTTTTTTTTTTAGTTAAAAATAACATCAGATCCTGCACCAATACTTATAGATTTTCCTTATTGTGATGAATGTAAAAAAGAATTTAAAGATTCATATTTATTACAGACATTTAATATGTCTGTATGTGATAACTGCAGGTATACAAGCATTATTTGAACTAACAATTATTTTAATATAAAATTTTATTATATTATAATCAGTTATTGTAACTGATAAAATATTGTAATCAGTTATTTGATATTAGAGATCCCAAGGGCAAACATTCTTTGATTACAAAAACTGAAGCAAAACAAGAGTATTTATTAAAGGACTGTGATTTAGATAAAAGAGAACCTCCATTAAAATGTATCACTAAAAAGAATCCTCATAATGCAAATTGGGGCGAAATGAAACTGTACTTGCACTTACAAGTAGAACAGAGAGCTTTAGAAGTATGGGGTTCTGAAGAAAAATTATTAAAGGAAAAAGAATTGCGTGATATTAAAAAGGAGGAGACTAAAATAAAAAGATTTAATAAGAAGGTAATAAATATGTTTCAAACTTATACTTGAAATTACAAAATAATATCAATACAGATATTTTTATCTTAACAAATTACTATCTTTTTGTTGTATAGATTAAACAATTGAGAATGCAAGTCAGAAGTTCGTTGTATGATAAAACATCAAAAGCATCTCATACACACGAATTTGGAGAAGATACATATAATGAACATAATGATACATATACACACATTTGCATTACTTGTGGATATGCAGAAACATATGAGAAAATGTAAATTTTATAATAATAATGTATATTATGATATTTATTAGACAATTTTCAGATATAATTTTCTTATATTGAGTAATTTGTTCATGATTCGTGAGATGCGTACACATAATAAAAAAGGATAAAAAAATGACATCTCTTATTTATTTATTATATTTTTACTCTATTGTTTAATTCTCGATTGAAATTTATTTTTGTACTAATAAAATTTTACATGTAACGGATTTTCAATGTTTGTTATTTGAATTGTTAAAAACAAGAAATATAATTGAAAATTTTTATTTGTGATATATATATATATATATATATATATATATA